CTAAAGTAAGAGAGTGGGGAAGATGAAGAAATGTTTGTTTATTTTGATTGTTAAAAAGTGTCCGGGAAATTGACCCTTCCGGAAAAGGGACGTCCGGATATGGGACGTTACACTGTATTACATCAACAATACTGTTTGTCAACCCCTGTTAGAACTTAAGAAATGCATTTGAACAGACCATTAGACAGTGTGGAACAAATTTGATTACAGATTATTGACTGTCGATACAGCAACAAAAAGATCACACATTAAATAATTTTTAACTGATTCACACAAATGACACAAAAATTTAGAAAAAAATTGTGTTTTAATAATTTTTTATTTTATCTTTAATAATAAAGCTCATTTTTGTACTTAAATTATTTGTGGTATGGTTTAAATGTATCATTAAAAACAATTTATTTAAAATTGAAACTTTTTATTTAAATTTGCTACATATTTAATTTAAGCTGGCAAGGTTCTAATAAATGGTATTTGTAAATCATGCAATATATTTGTGATAAAATTAATGTAAGTTTTATTAAATTCGCACATATTTTAAGATATTCACACAATTATTCTCACTTTTTTATTCATAATTCATACATATAAAGGTATGTCGATATATTCTAGTAGTTTGATTTAATTCTTTAAAGGAATAAGTATTTAATGTGATTTTTTTTAAATTTAATTTAATTTTCTAAGAAGTCAATATTTTATATTTTTAATTTATAAGACATATTTTTTTCGAAATATTAAGCAATTTAGAGAAGCATTTATAAATCAATTTTTTAATTATGATTTACAACTAAAATACACAATAAACTAACATAATTTTACTAATCTGTAATCAATAAAATTTAAATAATAGATCTTAAATATCTAAATTAAAATGTCAATAACTAAAACTAATATGTTCCTTATTAGACATCATTTGAATTGTGTGTATGATGTAATATGAATGACCAAGTGTTCTTTGGTTTATGTTGAAATAATTCTGCCTTGCTCTTTATAATAATTAAAATTTTTGTTTTCAGACTCGTTTGTATAGCTTAGAAAATTTTCTCCATACTAATATTACTATAAGAATAGATGATTTAGAATCTGAAAAACGACACAACTATCAAGAAATTGATGAATATTTAAATAAAACTGTAAGTTTATTTTCATAATTAATTCTACTTTTCAGAAGTTTAAATGTGTATATAAATAATACTTGCAGCAATTATTATTATTTTAGGTTTAGAAAGTTCAAGGAATAATTTATTTTTTTTAAAATGTGTGGTTTATTTTATTTATTTTTTTTCACAACTTTTAATTCTCACCTTTTTATAATTTCCCCTTATCTTCAGAAAAAATTTATATCTTATCCTTATGGATAAAGCTAAATAAATTAAATAAAGCACACTAAAAAAAAAAAAAAAAAATCAGATTCTATGACAGTTCTGTGATTAAAAATTTACTCAGTGTGAAAACTCAGAAGAAAGTACAGAGGTGCAGAAGAAAGCTACGATTTTATTTGTATTTTTTCTTCTGTGTTTCCTTTTCTCTAATCTTAGGAAGAGTTGTAACTTATGGACGGATGGTCATTGGTGCAAATCTTATGCACAACCAACGAACATCTCGCTCACATGTCTTCTTCCCTACACATCACTTTTGAGACTGCATTTTCTCAGACTCAAAAATGAGTATATGCTGTTTCAATTTTGAATACGCAGAGTTTTCAAATCTGACTAAATTTTTTAGGAGCTGTTATGATACATTTTTGCTGAATTTTAAGAAACCCATTTTTTATAGTGTGGATACTTAAACTTCTTTTTTTTATTATTATACTAGTATTAAGGTTTGAACTAAATACCTCTCGATAATTACCTCTCCTTCCTACTAACAGACTTAGAATGAATCATTTCTCTATCCTTTTCCATCCACAATATGATGGTCGACTTTCATGTTAAAGTTATTTTAGTATAATCTAACAATACCAAAGAATTTGTTCTTGCTTATTTAAATAGTAACTAATAAAAATTAATGTTAGTCATATGCAGAACAGTACTTCATTAAAGAGAAGTGAAAAAGAATCTGTTGGATGCTAATCAAAAATGTTTATCTTTAAAAAAAAAAAAAAAAGAGCAGTTGGTTGAGCATCAAACAGCAAATATTAATGTAACTGTATTTAATTAATTGATCTATGTGAAAATGAATGTATGAAAATGTCAAATAGACTATTAACTATTGAATTATTAATTAATTATTGACCAAAAAGTTTCTGAGACTTAAGAGAAAATAAATTTTCAGAAAAGAAAATTAAAAAATTAAGTTGTTTAATGCTCATTCGGTTTTGTCTGATCCAATTATCTTTTATTTAGCATAATGTTGTTTATAATTCTTCGCAAAATTCTAATTCTATATATGATTCCTTTTTTTGCATTGGAAAATAAAAAAGAGTTTATAAAGTATAGTGTTGGTGTGTTTTTAAAACATTGAATTTAATGTATTTATTTTTCATCTATTCACAACTAATACACTGAGAATAATGTTTATGTAGTTCATAACATATCATGCCATTTTTTCTTATATATTTCTTTATTTTTTTTTATTTATTCATTTATTATTTTTAAAATTTTTTGTACACATCTAAATAGCATGATATCTAAGCATCTTCAACAGATTGAGTTTAAGGCATTTGCATTTTGCGTACTTAAAATTAACTTACTATGTATATATTTTATTATGTAAATTTAAAAAAAATATAATTTATTTGGATCATTTTTTGTGTTTAAAGTATAAATATTGTAAGAATTTGGTCAAAAAGAAAAACTATTATATGCATCTGGCAACTATTTTGGGGATTATTTTTTTTATCAGAAGCAACTAAAGGGATTATTTTTGGAGTCTCACTCCAGTAGCTACACTGTGACTATGTAAAGGCCTGGTTTCTTAGGAAAAGCGCCTTATCTGGGCGTCAGCGTTAAGTTGTCCTTACCCTGACACCAACAAAATACTGGTTTGTTAGCTCAAGGCCTGGTTTCTTAGGAGAAGCGTCTTAAATGGGCGTCAGCGTTAAGTTGATATAATTTTTTAACGCCATAAAAATACCTTTTTGTTAGCTCAGCGTGAGCAGTCGGTTCAACACAGACATTATCTTGCATTGCGCATAACGTAAACAAATATTTATTTTGAATTTGTATTGATTTTGTGATTGTCGACCAGTGCTTTAAAGAACAAATAATGACTTTGTCCAAGAAAAAACACATTATAGCTTAGCTAAATGAAGAAGAGGAAAAAGAAGCTATGTTTAATGTTAAAATTAAAATCTTGGCTGATTTCAATGCTCTGTTGTTGGCTGTTGTCCGCCATTGCTTCTGTTGTTAATCGCACGTTGTAATCCAACTGCAGTTGTCATTCAAGCTGAGCGTTCGATGACGTATGCTGTCAAACTCATAAATTAACCAATCAGAGGTAAACGTTCGTTTCAAGCTGACGCCGACGTTTCCTAAGAAACCAGGCCTTTACAGTGTTTATTGTAATATTCTGTTGGTTATCTGAAATTAAAAGTTGTTTTTTTTTTTTTCAATTTTGTGTTCTTATTATACTTTATAAAAATTAAAATGACATGCATTTTGTTATTGGAATTTAAACATCTATTTCAAGTGTTTGATTTGTCTGTTAATTTGTCAATTATCTTTAGCTCTCTGAAGTTGTTCTTCGTTTGATAAATAAAGAAATTTTCCATACTGATCCTGCCAAAACTTTGGTTCAACCTATAGAAAAAACTCATGATATGCTGGTGCTACTTGCAGCTCTACTCAGAAATGTAAGTTTGTTAACAACTGGAGAATGTCCTATTCAGTCCTTTTTCTGTCTTTTTTTTAATTATAATTTATATAAAATATTACTTGATAAAATTTTATTATATTCTAAGTTATGTATAATCCTTTATTTGGTTCTTTAACTATTACTTTAAGTTCATTTTTCTCACTTTCTCCATATAAAAGTAATTTAAAAAGAAAAATTGTAAACAAATTAATTATCTAGAATCTGTAAAGTATTTGGTTACTTTGCAGATGTTAGAGTGTTCACGTAAATTAAATCATTCCCATAGCAGCTTGGGACCAGGGAGGTTGTAGTTGGTAAGGCCCCCAATTTCCTGACCAACAACATAATTACAGCAATGTGGTCAGCAATACACCTATACTTAATTCCCAAACAATCTGATACCCATCATTCTGAATTTGGGTTGGTTTCAAGCCACCACTGAGGACCAAATCCCAGTCCTACTGATTGGTAACTCAGTACCTTTAAACCCTAAGTCTTCGTTCCAATAAGGCTGTAAAAAGGGTTAGTTTTCGTTATAATAACTGCTTATTTATTACACAACCCTGCAAGTTAATTATTTGAATTTTCATTTCAAATTTTTTAAACTCTGTGTTAGTTATGTTGTTTTTCTTTCTTTCTTTTTTTAACATCATAATAACTGAAATATTTATTTATCAACAGTATAGTCTAATTCCTAACAATGCCATCTTGTACGATTCAAATGCAACTGAAGTTGTAAAGGCCATTCTTCATCAAGCATTTAAACAAATATCCATGGAGCAGAATAACACGATGGAGGTAAAGTGAAAATGAATTGTTAAAATTAACTGTTGCAGAATTTTATTATCTATAAATGAGTTAAATTTAATATTGTGCATGTTTCTCTTACAGACTAAGGTGCAAAATAATAAAGAAAGTATTACTCGATTCTCTGCTCCTGCAAATAAACCGGGTAAAATTTTTTGAATTTATATTACCCAATTTTAATAGTTTGTATTTCATTTAAGGAAGAGCATATTTTATCCTATACTGTAGGTATTACTTATCATTGTTTGTGCCTTCAAATATTACCTAATTTTTTAAAAAAAACTTTTATGATAAAATTTTATTTGACATAAAACGAATTAAATCATAATGGAATATAAAAGAAATACAGTCTATGCTATATTTAAAATAACAACCTTTGCTGTCAAAACAAAAAGTTATTATATAAGGAATAGATAAGTAATTTTATATATTTTTATATTATACTGTTACAAAATAAAATTTGAAAATGCTTAAACAGATAAAATAGTAATTAACAGCATGACATGTTTTCTTTTATCAAAACATACAAATACATTATCTTTAGTATAGACACTTAAACAATATTTCAATTTAAATAGAACTATGTGCATGTTATGAAAGAATAAAAGGTGCATGACAAGAAAATGACATTAATTAGTTCTTGATTTGTAAAGAAAAAATATTGTTTGTTTTTAAATAAACTGTAATGACTGAGCAAAATCTAAAAAATTTAGAATTTGTACAGGGCATTTACAATGAAAAAATTAATTTTCCTGGTGAGATTGAAGTTTATTGCTCCTTTTGATGAAAAGAAAAAATAGTAAAGGAATAAAGTAAATGCTTTACCTTTTAGAATTAATGAAAACACACAAAATATCAAGCAGATTTTTATAGACAATTTAATATTTTGTTTTGTTCTCAATGCTGTATGGTATGTGTTTGACATTTACCTTTTTTTATTTATTATTATTACTATAAGAGGATTCTTAATTGCTAAATAAATAAATATATATATATAGCCAAAGTAAAAAAGACAAATAGGGATCTTCTTTGCAATTCTTAAACATTAAACTCCACATGTCCGAACTTGTTGAGTCAGTGGGAGTGAAATAGTATTACCGCCCGTGAAGAAACTAGCAGTAAATTTGCTTTCATCCAAATTTTTTGCAACATCAAATCAACACTGCGGTGCATTGTTTTAGAATTATGAAATGAACAAATTAAATCTAAATTTGAATTGTAGTTTTTTATTTTGCTGTTGTCCAGCAATTTCAGGTATGTGTTAATCATTTGCATTTAAAAACTATTTGCTAGAATGGTTAGTTGTAAAATATATGTAAGATTTCAGAAAGTGAATCTTATTAAAGAAATAGTAAGGTAATCCAACTGTGAAATGTTAAATTTTGGAATTCCTTCAAATTTCCTTTTAAGGATATTTAAGAAAAATTATATTAGAAATTAAATTATTATTTATTTAAAAAAATTATTTATTCATTATTATAAATAAAAAAATATTAATTAGTTAAAGAAATTATATTAAAAATTAAAGTTTATATGAAATCAGTCAATAAAACAAAAAGTTTTGGGAATGCCTTTTTTCTGTAATCTATTGATATTGTTACATCTTTTATGCTACAATATTGTTTTATCTTTTAATAACATTTCAAATCAAATGTAGTCAAGGAATTCTGTAATGTAATGAGTTGTTCTTAGTAAAATATCATAAGCTTATTAATAAAAGGGGTCAGTGAACTTTATGAAACAAAATAAATTTTAAATGTATAATATTTAAATATATATATACAATGATAAAAAAATTGCTTCATTAGTATTAACTAATGCTAATATTTATGTCAGAACTCAGATTACCATGCAGAAATATATACTTAATATCCTATAATAGTTTGAGCTTCTGAGTAACAAATTTGACTAAGTAGCAAACTCACAGTTTATTTAATAAATTAATAATTTTGCTATTTCTAAATTAATTATGCTATGACTATTTTCTTTAGATCTGTCTTCAAGTACTGATTTAGCTGGTTCTGCTAATCAGGAACACCAGGTTATTCCCAACAAGTTAGTATTTTTTAAATAGTTTAGCATGGTATCTTATTTAAATGTTTTCATAAATTACAATTTACACCTATTAAATTTTATTTTAATTGTAAAGTATGAAAATTTTTAAATCATCTTATAGTAGTTTTGTTAATCTAATGCAAAAATAATCAATCAAAAACTTAATAATAAACCTTATAGTTTTTATTCTTAACCATTATTATTTTTTTAAAAGGTTCTGTCATTTAAGATCACATTGTTTTAGAAGATGTAAAATAATTTTTACTCCTCTATTTTAAACTCCTTAGATCAGTATTAAAAATATTTTTTGCATTAAACTGTCATTAGGTAAGAAGGTTCTATGAAGGTGTGCAAAAATGTTTTGATTTGTGCGAGCATTATTATTTGCTGGTGAACAGAATAGTACGTTGAGAATTTTTAAACCAAATTACATGTTTTCTCACCTTTGCTTTTTAAATATTATTCATTGAAACTTTTAATTTTACCTTAATATTGCAATAAATTTTTAAAAATTGCTGATTTTTTTTCTCTGTTTTTCATTGTCTTGTTTTCTTTAAAAAAAAATTTTTTTTATTATTTTAACATACATTCATTACAAAAATTCCCTTTCTTAAAAAAATATTAAGAGTGAAATCCTACTTTAATGAAAGATATTTTTACAAATACTGTGAGACCTCTTTTGCAGTTGGTAACGATGATCTGATCAGATTAAAAAATCTACTTTTTTTTCCATTAAAGAGAACATACAAAAAAGAATAAATTACATTAAATACGATTTATGTATGCTTTTTTATTTGTCCATTCTCTAAAATATCAAACAATATATTTCATGGAACACTTTTGCCTAATATCAGTGACCCATTTTTTCCCCTCAAATTCTGCTTGATTTTGTTTTATTTGCTGATTCAGCATTGCAAATTCTTCCATGCGCTGTAAGCATGCTTTTTTTATTCATTCATTTACTTTTACTGTTTTGTAAAGTTCGTAAGTTGCAAGAAAACAAAAGCATTAAAAGGCTATGTATGTTCAAGAAGCAAAATTGGTTAAACATTAAATGCACTCTAGTTTCTATAATTTATATTTATTAAATCTTTTCTAAGAATATATCTTTGAAATTATTATTATTTTTTTTAATAGTTATTATAGTTGCTGTGGATACAGCTTGATATCATTATTAGGCAACACTATAGTAGAGAGAAAGTTCATCACAAGCCTTATTTCTCCATTTTTGCTTGGAAATTATTATAAAGCCTTTATATGAGATCTAATATTATATACATTAAACAAAGTAAGGCAATTAATAAAAGGAGCAAATTATTAACCTGCTAGTAATGAATTTAATATTGTTAATAAGTTATGGAGTACAGTTTTTAAAATGATTCTTTAAAGAGGGGTTAGAATTACTTAGTTTTATGAGAAGTAATTCGCCCATTATAAAAAAGCTTGGTATAACCTTTTTTTTAAAAAAAAAAGCTTGGTATAACCTTTTTTTTAATAGCCAGTAATTTACTCACTAACCAATTCAGTATTGTGTAACTAAAAGTGTTCTATTTTCTAACAAAAACTTTTTGTTATGTTTAAGGACAGTGAAAATCTCCCACCGTGGCTTTTTTTTTTTTTTTNGGCTTTTTTTTTTTTTTTTTTTCTTAGATAAAATTATTGCACATACTTTATTTGTAGCACTGTGTCGGTTAAAAAAAGGGCAAGAAAATAATTTCTACAGGTTCTTTGTCTCTTAAAAATGATTTAGGATAACAATGTTTTGTTTTCTGTGGGGTAGTAATTTAGACATTAAAAAAAGTTGGATTGACTTTATTTTCTCTTATTAATGGTTTCAAGGAACATTGTTTTCTATTAACATGACTTTTTTTTTTTTATCAAAGACACGTTAGAAGTGGTATTGCTCTAGAGCAGTGCCCCCCTCTTTAAGTTCTAAAACATTTTTTTCTCTCTTACAGCACAAAAATTGACTCAGGTGGACTTCAAAATGGCCCTGATGATAATATATGGTCATCTGTTTAATCGGTGGATATGCAGCTTTCTAAATGCCTCACCGTGTCCATAGAATTGCTTTTTTTTAGTAAAGTAGTAGACTTATAATCATGAAAAAAAATTTACATTGGTGCACTACAGAAAAGTTGTTATTTGTATGTTCAGCAAATTTGTATTGTAAATATTTTGAGAAATTTCTTTTATCTATGCAATATTAGATGTATACACATATACATAAAGAAATATCATTACTAGTTAATGTGTTAATTTTCAATTGTGGGGTTACATTCTTATTAATAAGTTATAATTAAATACCTTATAAAAATTTAATTCTAACTGCAACATTTACTTACTTTTAATTCCAATGTAACATCAGTTTTTAAAAAAAAAGGAGGAAATAAAATTTATTAAAAGTAAAATATAGTACAACTTATTTCGAAGAAAAAATTTTAGCATCTTCTGACAATGTAGCTGTTGCATCGTGTTAAAACAATATATATATATTAGACGTTATGGTGATCATAACTTCATTTTGCATCTATAATGCCTCGGTTCTATGTAAATTAAGTATAATATTATTAAATTATACTATTATTAAATTTTTTTTGATTAAATATGCAACTAATGCATTTCTTTTTTCATGATTTACAAGAGCTGATGCAATAGAATATTTATTTGGATTTGTTTTATTTAGTGAAAATGTACTTTAAAAAAAGCGATAATCAAGCTCATCCGTTCAACATCATCCCAATTAAGTATATGCATTCAATGAATCCTGCCATTTTGTGTCATTTGAAATGAATAAGGCATACAGTGAAACCTAGATTATTCTGAACTTCCGCATTTCTAAATGAAAACTTTAAATCGTTCCTATTATTTATTGACCATTCCATTTATTCTCTAATTTTAAAAGAAGTTTTTAGTTCCATTGTAAACAGCTCTTTTTTTAAGCATATGTAGAATTATAGTATTTTCCAATTTATTTGGACATTTCATTTATTCTTTTATGGTAAAACAAGCTTTTAGCCCTATTGTAAACACAGTTAATTCTTTTATTATGTTTAGAAGTATTTTGGAGTTAATTCTATTTTTTTCTGTCTTGTTTTTTTAGTGTATGAAGAATTATATTAATTTCCAATTTACTAAGTCATTAATAAATATATTTTATAAAGCTTAGTTTAATTTATGAGATTTTAATCATTTAAAAAAAAAAATATCGTAGATTTGGTAAAATTTGTATGATAAATTCTATTATATGAAATAAAAAATATGTCAAAAATAGCAATTGCTGAAATGGGTATTTTTTTTCTTCATGGGTAAACAGGGAAAATAAGAGAAGCATAATTTGTCTCTTGAACACCCTTTAATGAAACGCCAAAAGAAAGAAAAAAGTTAATTAAATAAAATTATAGCTGTACAAGAGTAATATACTGATGTTTTTTATTGTGTTATTAAATGTATAATTGTACAAATTCATACATTTTGATATCAAAACGGTGATGAGGCATTGTTTTCCATGCCTTTATTTGATGCCTAAAAGCATATCTGTGTCTCATTGTTAACAGTGCTACGATGCTGTCATACCAGATACTTCAAAATCTCTTACATCAAACCAGACTTAACCAAATGATTATTTTTTGTTTATTTATTTAATTCTGACAAAATAGGCATTTTTTAAGTTTTTTCCATGCATTAAAATATTTATTCAATAATTCTGATTGTTTAAAGTATGATTGGTGAAAATGTTTTTAATTTTATTTTCTGGGGGTGAAGTTGTAAGTTCAGAAAAAGTTAATGTTTTAGTGGTTTGAGCTTTATTATAATGTTGTTACTTGAGGAAAGTGAATTTTCATTCTCAAGCATCTGTCCAATGGAAAATATTTTTGTTAATCAAGGTTTCACTGTACTCGATTTAAGCAAAAGATTTGTAAATATTGCAATTTGATTTTATAATCCTTTACTGAATGTGAAGTTTTTATGCTGATGTTTAGCTACCTTATATCAGGATTTTGAACAGAAAGCTACATGAAATCCTGACATATTTTCTCTGAAAACAGTTTAAGGGGAAAAAATTGTTGAAACTTTTCTGCTCATCTTTCTTGCTCATAAATGTATTGTGAAAGAGTGATTGCTTAACTATTCATGTGATGCTGTATTACTTAAGTCAGTGTTTGTAGAATATGTTTGTGATTGGTTCAAATTTACTATTGAATTATATTAGGAACATGTTAGCAAAGATAGAAGATAATTATTATTAAGTTTACAAAGGTAAATGAAAATTTTAACAGGATTCCCATGGTTTATAGTAATTCTAAAATTTTTTATTCTTTAAGATTGGTCTTAAAAATTTATTGAAATTTTTATAAAATCCATGTGAAAAAGTTTTTGTTTCTCCTAAATTGTTTTGAAATTATAAAAAATTGTATTATCGGCCATGTTTTTTAATCATTAGGCAGTTAAGTCCGATTCCACTGCTAAAAATTGCTAAAGAAGCTGGTCTCTATATTAAATCCATAAGTGTTAAACTTTCTCTCTCTTAGTTTTCACAAATTTTATATGTTGAAATGCTTCATCATTATCATTTGTGGAAATTTATTACTTGAAATTAGCCGATATTTTATTAAGAAAAAATAGTGGTACTTTTTTTTTTTTAATTTTATTTATTGAGCTGGAAACTGTCTAACTGAAAAGAGCTCATTTGCATGAAATGAACAATCCTGAGTGACTAATTTTACGAAATTGATCAATGGAATGCTAGAAATATTTTTTGTTAATGCAGTTTTTAGTGCAAGCTAGAACAAAGCTCTATTGTTTAGGTTTTAACTTATATTTTCCAAGGCAGAAGTGACTGTGTTATTTCAGCTTTATGCCATTGAAAAATAGAGCTTTAAACCTAGTAAAACAAAATTTGGCATGCTTTTCAATTTTTTGCCCGATTTCTAAACTTATGTTTAGAAAAATCGTTTTTGTTATGGAATTACCATCGTAACTAGCTCTTTAGCTTTCATCATCAATGCATATGTTTTAATTTAGCCATCTATCCGAACAACTTTTTATTGAAACAAACCTTTCATTACTACAAAAACTATTTTAAATATTCATTACTGCTAGTAAATTAAAGTAGTATTTTATTGTAGCACTGTTTCTCCATTTTATAATGATCTCAAATTATTGTCTTGTAGAGTTTTAAAAAAAATAATGGAATGGGAATTCTGTTATAGAGTTTATTTCTCTTGATTAATATATTTTTAGTTTGTTTTTTGTCCTTGACATTGTAAATATGATATACATTTATTTTGTTTCATGTGTAGAATAGTTGGTTGAGTTATGACCGATTTTAAATCCGCTTTTCGGCCCTTTGTTTCTTATTGTATTTTTCAGTAATATTTTGATTATGCACCGTCCATCATTCATCTAACTACATAATATTTTGAAATGATTGCAAATTTTCTGAAAACAAGCCAAATGGAATTTTTATACTGTCAACTTTGATTTTAGATTTGTAAGCAGTGAACTTATTTAAATAAAGTCATCTTCTCTTTTTATAGTGGAATGCAGTCGGTTTCCATTGCAACGAATTCTATTTCAACAAGAGAGAAAATTTATTAACCCTAGATAACTAAACTTAGTCCCATGGACTCCAAGTTTTAGTCAGTTTTGCAAAATTTAAGGTCTTACTGTAGCAGATTAAGATCTTCTATTGTTGCAAACATTAAATTTTATCTCTTTTCCATATTTTAATAAAAATGTTAGAGTATTCCCTTGATTTCGGCTAATTTTTTTTTGATATAAATAAAATAAATATGAAATGCCACCAAATTTTTATGTTTTTGTTGATGAATGAAATGATGATTAATTGCAGAGAGAAGACTCTTTAAGTTTTGGCTATCTAGGGTTGAGTTAGAATTATTTCTAATCATTCTATTTTGATTTTTAAATGATCTCAGTGTTATTAAAAAAAAATTGTTAAAAATTACAACGAAAAATGTTTTTTCTGAAAATTTGAATGCATATATAGGGAGCAATCATTACATGAAATTATCAAATTTGGTTTTGGAACATTTTTTGCGTGTTTATTAAAAATTTCTATCTAAAACTTATATCTAAGTGTCAAGAATTATGCCTAAATAACTCTTTTATAAAATAACATCAATGCAATCTTTTTATTATTGTTATGAAATATTCTGGAAAGCTGACTTAATTTTCCAGCGCTGAGAACCTGCCTTAAGAATATTTTAATTAGTTTAGTTAACTCTACAATGCAGGAATTTTTGTTGGTGATTTATTTTATTGCTTAATATTTAGAATAGCTGTAACTCTAAGCTTATGACTCAAAAAGTGAAATTTATAATATGTATCCGCAATTTTTTCTTGTGAAGAAATAATTAAAATACAATTTTCTAATGTAAGAAGAATAAATTAAGTCTGGTTTGCATTGTAGAGTTAATTTTTATTCCAGGATAACAAAAAATTATACTAACGATTTTAAAATAATACTAAGAATCGAATTCACAGAGCAATAGCATTTCTAAAAACTTGCAGATTTTTATAAATAGCATGTTCACTTCCTTGTGTTTTTTGAAAAATGGTGCAGTATAACTAAAGAACCTGTGGCTATCCAAAATTAGAAAATTTTATCACAACAAATATTAAGTTTTTATCAGAAAAAAAAATTAATTGAAAATTTTATTTGTTGTAACCATTTAATCGAGACTCATCTCTTTGATTAAATAAATTCAGGTTTCTGTTTCCCATGGTGTAATTTTATAGGCAAAAGCTGTAAAGTTACAGATGAGCTTAAATTAATAATCTAAGACTTCAAAAATTATTGTACTATGTTACTCATTATGAAAAAAAGTTAAAGATTAACTTAAAATCTTTTTTAAATTAAATATTTCATTCAACGAATTATTAAATATAGATTTCAACTTAGGAGCTTATTTATTCACAGCTAAAAATTGTGAAGTTTTACTTTTATCCTTTTCTTGTCAAGGGAAGCATGCAATCTATTTTAAGAAGACTTATTTTTTCCTGAGAATAATCTCTATTACATTAAATAATTCATTAATTTATATGTTCAACATTTAATTTTGCAATTTAAAAGAAAACATTATATTTTGAATTTATCTCAACACTCTCATGAAGTTCATGCTCATGAAATCCTACTGTATTTCAATTTTGTAAACTCAAAAATGCTTTTCCACAAATTGTTTAATGCTCCACATAACACTGAATGAATTTATTTTGTCTATTATGAAAAGTTGACAGCATTGTGTATATTTTGCATTGTGTTTTATGTTTTGTGTATTTTTATGTACTGTTGTACCAAATAAATCTAGTCTTATGTCAAAAAAAAAAAAAAATTTCTCCTTTGCTAATCATGATTTTGTATTTGAATAATTTTATTATTTATTGATTAAACAAATGTTTTCTAATGTTGTAAGTTTATATATATTTTGAAAATTACTTTTAAAGTGAACTGAACTTTTTTTTAATATTATGCCTTTTTAATATTTGTTATTACATGTCATCACACTTGTTGTGTTCAGAATTTCATCTTCATGATTCAAGCTGTATATATATGCAAGTTATTAATGGCCTCTCTATGACTATGCATCTATAAATGTAGCGTGAATTGAACAAGAGTCACAATATGTTATGTTTATCAAGTTACCACATTTTAAATGTAAATGTTGATAAAACATACAATTACTGTTAAATAAATAGTGAGTTGTATTTGCTTTTGTTCTCTCTTACACCACTTCAGTGTGTAGGCTATGTCTGATCAATAATCAAAATAAATGATCCAATAGCCTTTTACATTTACACAAACCCTATATATCTATGTAATAGATAGTTGTTGATAATTAGAACATATTAATCTTTTAGTTATATAAATTAACATTAAAAGTTTTAAGTAATAAAGCTAGTCATAAAAACATGAATAAACTTCCAAGTATTCATCACAACTGCTTAAGAAAAATCTTGTGTATCAAATGGTTCCATAAAGTTTTTAATGCAGAAAACCTTAGAAAAGCAAAACCGATTCCAATTGATTTGGAAATTTAAAAATGGAATTGGATTGGTGATATTCTATGTAAACCTAAAAAATTTAAAGAAAAACAAGTTTTTAAATGGAACCCTCAGGGCAATTAAAAAAAAAAGAGGAAAACCTTAAAATACTTGGCGCAGGAGGAACGAATACAAATTGGAAAGACATGGAGAGAAGCAAAATATTTTACCACAAATATAGTGAGTTGGAATCCTATGATAGAAACTATGTTCCAATTTGGAGTGAAAAGGAATAGGGATTAATATAAAACAGATAAAAATTATTATTCATTTAAGTTAATTAATTTTGTCCTGAAATAAAGTTGAAATTCTTTATGTAAATGTAGGTTCCACTACCTTCTAGATCTTGGTCCATTAAATATTCAATTCAACATTAATAGCTTTCTAGGAAAATTTTTACCTCACTTTTGTAGTTATCCTCGGAATTTTTTCAATGAAAAAATTTAATTTTTTATAAAATCTAATATGTCTAAATTTAAAAAAATGTTAAACAATATATTATTCAGGGTGTGTAGCGTTTTTAAAGGTGCTTATTTTCGTTTTTAAGGGGTCACAGTACCTTTGCAACAATTTTTTAAAATAAAGGTATAATCATTCATTTTGTGGATGCTTTACATGCTCATTTAAGTTATAATCAATAATTTATCTTCAAAAAATGATTAAACTGCTTAATTTTTTTTAAATTTTAAAAAAAGTCGAAAAAATTCTAAATTTTTAAATCCCTAAGGCTTTTTTGTTTTAACATATTTTCAAAAAAAGTTTTTTTTATAGTGCTTGCAATATTTATCTTAACAATTTTGTGCATTCATTTGTTGATATATCAATTAGAATATTTTTTATAGATTATTTTGTAAAAAAGTAGAAAAAAAAGGGTAAAAACTCCTGTTAGGTATATATAACATGCCGTAAAAGTTGTAATACCTCATAAAATACTTATTCCATGCACAGTTTAAATAAGAGTATTATACTCTAGATAAAAAAGTTTACTTCAAAGCTTTATCTTAAATAGAAAAAATTCCTTAGGGATTTAATTAAGATTAAGACACAAAATTATCATCTATGCGAAAAAGCACTTTGAAGTCAGACTGCTGAGGAAGTTTCTTTATTAGAACAATTTAAAATCATTCATAACTTTTTTAAAAATGTAGATAGAGAGATGAATTTTTTTCTGTACATTTGAAATAGTTTGAAGTTTTATTATAAGCAATAAAAAATTTTTTGGTATTTTTGTCATTTTTTGGGTACTGTGACCCCTTAAAAACCCTTAAAGGTGCTTTTTTCATAGCATGTTATAAAAAAATTCTTTATTTTTCCTTTACCATGTTGATTTTCGCTACGAATTGTGCAGACACAGTTCACATTGTTCTACTCAACGTTTTCACAATTAATTCTACCCCATTCTATTTCGGCGTATTGTCAGTCCATAGCGTATGAAAACGCCATTCGTTTTACATGATTTAAAATTTCAGGATTTTTGACAATTGTCAAAAACAATGCCAAAAGGTTTTTTTTTTATTTCTTTTAACATGACGGTTTAAACAAGATGAAACCGTCAATTGTCAAAAATTTTCCATCCCTGCCTAATTATGATATTTTTTTAAAGTGCTTAAAAGGTGCTTATTTTTTGTTGAATAATTTGGCTACGCACTCTGTTATTTTATCTAATAAATTGAGGTACTTTTGCTGTAGAAACTAATAGATCAAATGTCTATATGTTAATTTTTATAAGTGACTAAATATACTTAAACTATTTTATTAGTTCCAGAAATAAATGTAAAAAAAAAATCAGACTAGTGATCCTGCTGAGCGTGAACACGGATTCCAGTCATTGTACGGCACTACACTAATGTTTATTATTTAATTCCTCACATGTAAAAGCAAAAGAAAAGTTTGATTCTTTTTTCGTTCCATTGAGGAAATATTCGATTTAAAGTTACATGATCTGTGTATTTTTACATAGTTTCTTGCTCTCCAGTTTCTTTATCAATCAGATTTTTAAAGATTTAATGCGATACTTTTTTGTGGCATCTTTGAAGAATCTGAAAAATTCATTGCAAAGATTTATTTTTTCAAACTGTAAGACATATAATTAAATGATATGTTTTAATAAGATAATCTTATGTATGATCATAACAATTACGCACAACTGTTTTGAAACGCTTGAAAAAACAAGGTTTTGCATTTTAGTTATTTCAAAAGAAAGCTCCTGGTAAATGTTCTGCTTGCAATTTATTTTTCCATAAATTTTAAATCGCTATTCACGTGTTTACTGAAGATGTTCATGTTCCGAAGCTAACTTCTCAGAAATTGCATTTATTCTTGCTGTAGCAGAAAAGGGAAATTTTATAAACCTAAAACTTGTGCAGATTTTAAAATATATATATATATATATGTAACTAAAAGCTTTATACTTGCTAACGTAATTTGATTTAATCATCAGAATCTAAAATTTTAATTTTTTAAACATCGATCTATATTCAGATATTATTTTCTTTATTCCTAACCATTATTTTCTTTATTCCTAACCAAATGATTATATTAACGAGCACACGACTTAATTACAGCGTTTTCTTAACCAATAAAGCTAGTTATATTATGGTTTCTCAATTAAAATATAAAATTGCAGTATTGCTAGCATTAAAAAATGAACAGAAACAGCACCATTTTGGCACATTTTATTATATTCTTTTGAATGAGAGGAAGGACACCACTCTGAATTTTCTTAGTATTTTATAAAAATTTTGAGTGCTAAAAGGATATTTTGTAGTTATGAACAAACTATAGCAACTAAGAAAAAGCCTCAGAGAGCGCAATAATAAATTCCTTCAATTTTGAACAACAAAATTTTAACTATGCTTAAACCTGACATGAAAAGATTTTCTTTAGAATGAAAGTAGGGTTACTGTATATCTTGGCCATCTTTGTATGCCCAGCTGTAGACCATCGGCGTCACAGGGTCTCAATTTTCGAGGGGGACGAAATTAAATTACGTCACATCACAATAGTTCTTTAAATTTCACACATTGAAAAAAATTTCTTAATTGTAACAAGTGTTACCTGTCACAAGATTATATCTCTTTCTTGTTTTTACCTTTAATGAATTTTAATCTGATGATAATTCACGAAAATTTTCTTTATTTGTCTGATTGAGGGGGACATACACATAATATAGCCCTGCCAATGGTGCCCATGCTGTAGACATTCTCACTTGCAAGAACGACGCATACCTGAATGACTTAAAAATTAATTGAATTTATCGCTATACTTTATTGAGTTTTTATATGGTACATCAAATTGCTTTTAAAATCACTACTTAGGTTTAATAATTTATTTATCATTAAATCTTGATACGTTCACCCTTACGAAAATTTAAGGTATATTTAAGGTTGATTTGAGGTATTTTTGAGGTAGGTATATGAGAGTAGAGATTCG